CTTTTGCTGCCTAACCCGCCCTTCCACCTCTTCAGGGTCCAACTGCCCCCCACTACCGCTCCGGATTCCTTGTCCCAGTTTCCTGGTCCTGTCTCAATCTCCTCTTTCCCCGCCCCCATCCCTCAGATGGGATGTTCGTTCCAGACTGGCAAAATTATAAGGCTTCCCAACATTTCAACACTTCCCATTCTAAATTTTAACTATAGGCTAGCTCTGCCTACAACAAAGCATATTCAGAACCTCTGATTAAGAGGATTATAAGTGTAGCAACCTCCATCATAGCTAGTCACCAAAGATTGAACCTGAGCAATCCAGACTTAAAAGCATGAGCTTCTACTACTTGCGTTCAAGATATAACTCCCTTAGCTGGTAGCTATACAGTTATCCTCTAAAAATCCACCGGCCCTGGTCGTGAGATTATATTACTTGACCAAGGTCACACAGGGAATCTATGGCAAAGCTGGGAATTGAACTCAGATCCCCTGGGTCCCAGTCCAGTGCCTACAACTATTTTCCTTACTGATACAGGAACATTTGTTATACTTTGAGGCTGAGATTTGCAAAGCTGTTTAGGGATTTTAATTACAATTAATTTTAATGAGAATTGGGCATCCAAATCCCTCAGGTAGTCTGAAGACTGCAACCTGAATTGTCACTGTACTCCACAATAGAAGGTTTTAAGCAGGCAGTTTATCTGTGACAGGTGGAATCTGACTCTCAGTGGATTTTCTAGTTTTAACTAAATATTTCAAATATTAAATAACCTACAGGTAAAATGAATTTCACAACTTTTTTATTCCCAAAACCCAAGTCAAAAGCTCTGCATTTCTCCTGTAACAGCTGCCATCATTTGCACCCATAACAGACCAAGAAACTACATTTCTTGTGCTGTTTATGGTTTTAGGTTTCAGAGTGGTAGCCATGTTAGGGTATGTCTACACTACGAAATTAGGTCGAATTTATAGAAGCCGGTTTTATAGAAATCGTTTTTATACAGTCGATTGTGTGTGTCCCTACATAAAATGTTCTAAATGCATTAAGTCGGCGGACCGCGTCCATGGTACCGAGGCTAGCGTCGACTTCTGGAGCGTTGCACTGTGGGTAGCTATCCCACAGTTCCCACAGTCTCTGCCGCCCATTGGAATTCTGAGTTGAGATCCCAATGCCTGATGAGGCAAAAACAGTGTCGCGGGGGATTCTGGGTACATGTCGTCAGGTCCTCCCCCCCATGAGAGCAAAGGCAGACAATCGTTTCACGCCTTTTTTCCTGGGTTACCTGTGCAGACGACATACCACGGCAAGCATGCAGCCCGCTCAGCTCAGCGTCACCATATGTCATCTGGGTGCTGGCAGACATGGTACTGCATTGCTACACAGCAGCAGCTACTTGCCTTTTGGCAGTAGATGGTGCAGTATGACTGGTAGCCGTCATCAGCTATCTGGGTGTTGGCAGACATGGGACTGCATTGCTATACAGCAGCAGCTCCTTGCCTTTTGGCAGCAGATGCTGTATTACGACTGGTATCCATCATCGTCATACTCCTCAGTGAGTTCAATCAGAGGCACCTGGACAGACATGTTTTGTCTCCTGGAGACTCAGTCCTGCCGGCAGTCCTATTGCACCATCTTCACGATGACGGCTAGCAGTCGTAATGCACCATTTTCTGCCAAGCACCCAGAAGATGCCGATGGCTATCAGTCATGCTGCACCGTCTACTGCCAGCCTAAGATGTAAAAGATAGATGGACAATAATTTGTTCTGTATTCATTTGCTTCCCACTCCCTCCGTGAAATCAACAGCCTACTAAACCCAGGGTTTTGAGTTCAATCTTTGGGGGTGCCATTCTGTGTGACAGTTGTTTGTGTTTCTCCCTGATGCACAGCCACCTTTGTTGATTTTAATTCCCTGTAAGCCATGTCGTCACTCGCCCCTCCCTCCGTCAGACAATAGTTTCACGCCTTTTTTCAGCCCAGACGCCATAGCACTAGGATCATGGAGCCCGCTCAGATCACCACAGCAATTATGAGCACTATGAACACCACGCGC